ATCCAACCATTCAAAGAACGACTTAAACAAAATCACAGTAAGGCTAACCAAGATTAAGTCGTAACAGATCAACTCAACCACAAAGTTCACAAGAAAAGTGAAGAAAAGGAAAAGATATGAACCTGAAAATTAGCTTTGATTGACTGAAAATTTAAGTGAAATTACACAAGCAAGATGAACCAACTGGTATGGACGAGATTGGAAACGGACGGAACTCGAACGAACCAACCCCAAACAGCAACACCAATCAATCAACTTCGATGTATTCAAGGTCGCTGTTCTTGGCTCTCAATCGTTCTCTTTTTCAAAACCGATGTCCGAACATTTTGTTTTTGTTTTTTTTTGTTTTTTTCTTTTTTTCCGTTTGGATCTGCTATTGGCGGTGGAGTCGCTCACCGGTGATCAATTCCGGCGAGGGAGGTGGTGGGTGACGGCTTTTGGTGGTGGGTGGTTGGCGTCGCTCGCTGGTTTTGTTCAAAAGGGTTGTGTGTGTGTGTGTGTGTGTGTGTGTCGACAGTGGGTGGGAGGTGAAGAAGAGCTAGTGCGGCAGTGTGGCTCTAGGTTTTTGGAGTTGAAGATGGAGATGAAGGAGAAAGGAGTGACGGTTGGGGGGTGGTTGTTTTTGGAGAAGATGACTGAAGGTTAGGGTCTTGGGGCTGAAGATGATGATGGCTGGACCTTGGAGAGGAGACGGCGGCGGCTGTCGGGTCCCTTAGGGTTGGTGGCGGCGGCTGGGCTATTAGGGTGTTCTCTAGGGTTTGTGTTAGGTTTAAGAAGAAGCCGAAGGGTTTTTTTGGGGTTGAAGATCAAAAACGGCTGGGGGGGTATGGGCTAAGGGGAAATTCCAAAAATGGGCCTAAGATTAGACCTATCAGACACAAAATTGGCCCAAAATTTATTCTTCTTTTCCAAGGGTAAAATAAAAGTATCACATATAATTAACAATTGACTTTAACTGAAATGCAATTAAAATGAAATTATTTTATATATTTTTCCAAAGATTATACTAAAAATAGTATAGGATTAGATTAAAATCATTGCAATATTAAAATAATACTACTACCAAAATACTAATATCCTTGAAAACAAAGCAGAACTATTTTTTGTATTTTTGAACTTTATGTAAGGTAGATAAACTAAAAGTAACTAGATAAAATATCAATTAGCTAAATAAAAGAAAATATATTTGTAATTTTCATTTTTGTTATAAAATAAAGTAAAATAGTTAAAACTAGTTAAAATAGTGTGTGACGACCCAAAGGGGTCATCACCTATTTTCTCTCTTTTCCGCGCTTCCGAGGCCTTGAAAACCTTATTTTTAGTAGCCTCGATTTGCGTGCACAGTCCGGGCGCGTAGCCTAAAAGCTTAAATATGAACTCCGTGTGAAAAATGTTAAAATTTGATATTAATATGATTAAAGTTGACTTTGGTCAACATTTTGGGTAAACGGACCCGGACCCGTGATTGGACGGTCCCGGAGGGTCCGTAGAAAAATATGAGACTCGGGCATATGCCCGGAGTCGAATTCCGAGGTCTGGAGCCCGAGAAATGAATTTTTCCGTGAAATTGTTTTTCTGAAAATAATATGGAAATTTGAAAAGGAAATTGATTAGAACGTGTTGGTATCGGGCCCATATTTACAGGTCTTATATGTGGTTTAAGCGCTTTCTGTGAAATTTGGTTGAAATCGGACGTCATTTGACGTGTTTCGGACCTAAATCTCTAAAAATGATAGTTTATGAAGTTTGATGAAAAAGTGATGATTTTGAGGTTTAATTCATTGTTTTTGATGTTATTTTGGCGATTTGATCGCACGGGTAAGTTCGTAGGATGTTGTTGAGTTAGTGTGTGTGAGTGGTTAGGAGCCCCGAGGGCCCGGGAGTGTTTTCGGAGGTGTTCGGGATGGTTTTGGAGTTAGGAAAATTGTAAAAAAATCTGCTGTTGGTGCACATTGAATTCCTTCTTCGCGTTCGCACTCCACCCTCGCGTTCGCATAGCTTCAGTGTTTTTCTCCTTCGCGTTCGCGTCACCACCATCGCGATCGCGTAAGCCATAATCAGGAGCCCAGCAACTTCCACTTCGCGTTCGCAAGGCCTTCACGCGTTCGCGTAGTTCCAGTCTTTCATTCAATGCGTTCGCGTATCCCCTATCGCGTTCGCATAGGCCAATTCCCTGGACCCCAGTATTTTACCCTACGCGTTCGCATCCCCCCCTCTCGCGAACGCGATGCTTCCAGTTCCCCCTGCTTCGCGAACGCGACCCCTGTGTCGCGAACGCATAGGGCATTTTTGCCCAGTTAATTTAAAAGCCTAAAAACAGAACAGTGACGGGTTTTATTCAAAAATTCACACGAGCTCTTCTTCTCCACAGCCCCTAGGTGACTTGTAGAGCGATTCTTCACCAAATCTTCTTGGGTAAGTATTATCTAACTTGTTTTCTCCACTTTCTATCATCATCCATTGAAATCCTAGGCCTAAAACATGTAATCTAGGGTTGAAATTGGGGGAATTGGGTAGAGTTAGGGCTTTTCGATTTTCTTTGATTTAGACCTCGTTTTGGGGTCGAATGTGAAAACAAATTGTATATTCGGGCTCGTGGGGGAAAGGATGATATAAATTTGGTCCGAACCTCGTGTTTCGACCAAGCGGGCCCGGGGTCGATTTTTGGAATTTTTGGGAAGAAAGCTTAGAAAACTATATTTAGGCATTGGGTTTGATTTGTTTAGCTTATATTAATGTTGTAAAGTCGTTATTTCATAGATTTGATTGAGTTGGAGCCGAATTCGAGAGGGAAGGCGGTCGTTGTGTATTGATTTAGCTGTGGAAGTTGAGGTAAGTGTTTGGTTTAACCTTAGCTTGAGGGAATAGGAGTCGAGTCTTGTTTGCTACTTGCTAATTGTCGAGTACGATAGGCATGGTGACGAGTATCTATACACTGGTGTCTATCATGACCGTGAGTCCTTATGTTGTGTTTATTCTTATCCTGTTGTGCTTTTCCATGCTTAGTTGATGATTCCTATGTGATGAAAGAGTATGAGAAGGAAATTATGAATTGTAAAATTCTTGGGAGCATTGGCTCAAGTGATAAAGTGAGATGTGAAGTAAGAAATGAAAGAAAGCTAATGAGTTATTGGTTATTCCCTTGCCGGGATGTTTTACTGTTTAGTAGACTTTTCTCCCTTGCCGGGATATTGAAATTATTGTTATTGTTCCCTTGCCGGGATATTGAAATTATTTTTATTGTTCCCTTGCCGGGATATTGAAAATTATTGTTATTGTTCCCTTGCCGGGATTTCTATTTTGTTTGTCTATTCCCTCACCCCATTATTTGTGATTGTTGTTTGGGTGAGGACGAGCAATAAAGCACGAAGGGTGATGCCGTGCACGATTGTAATATGAAAACTAATGCACGAAGGAATATTCCGTGCCATGACATTAATATTAATGCACGAAGGAATTCAGTGCCATGTTTTGATTATTCATGCACGAAGGAACATTCCGTGCCATGTTTTGATTATTAATGCACGAAGGAACATTCCGTGCTATGTTTTGATTATTAATTCACAAAGGAACATTCTGTGTCATGTTTTGATTATTAATGCACTAAGGAACATTCCGTGCCATGTTTTGATTATTAATGCACGAAGGGACATTCCGTGCCATGTTTTGACTATTAATGCACGAAGGAACATTCCGTGCCATGTTTTGATTATTAATGCATGAAGGAACATTCCGTGCCATGTTTTGATTATTAATGCACGAAGGAACATTCCGTGCCCTGATTTGATTACTAATACACGAAGGGTCATTATGTGCCATGATATGAGTGTTTATGTGAGGAAAAGCACGAAGGTTGATGCCGTGCACTTTATATGATTGTTGTTTGGGTGAGGACGAGCGATAAAAGCACGAAGGATAGTGCCGTGCAACTGTTGATTTTCTACTCTCGTTGATATTGTAGTTGTACTGTTTCATTCCTTATTTATTGATTTTATACCTGAACTGTTACAGCCCCTACATCATGCTTCCCTCCCTCTTGATTGGTTGATTTCTGTATACCTTTATCTTGCATACATATTATATTGAACTGCACAGGTTTGTTTGGTAGTCCGGTCTAGCCTCGTCACTACTTCGCCGGGGTTAGGCCAGGCACTTACCAGCACATGGGGTCGGTTGTGCTGATGCTACACTCTGTGCATCTTTTTGCACAGATCACGGTGCCGGAGCAGCTTTTGGACAGCAGTAGTAGATTGGGAGTAGACCTTCAGTCCGGAGACACCGAGGTAGCCTTGCTGACGTCCGCAGGCCTTTGTTATCCCTTGCACCGAAACAAACAGATTATGACTTCTTTCAGTGTATTGTATTTAGTAAATCTTAGAAGTTCGTGAGTATGGTGACACCAATCTTGGGTAGAGTTTTGTGTTGGAATTTTCGCATTTCTTTCAGTTATTTACATTTGAGACTTCTGCTTATATTATTAAACGCTTCGTTTTGTTATATTGTTGATGTTTGCTAAAAGAGGTAATTAATAATTGGCTTGCCTAGCTCCTAATAGTAAGCGCCATCACGACTCCCGAGGGTGGGAAATCCGGGTCGTGACATAGTGATATTAGGCCTAAACTAAATATTTAAATGCTAAAGTATATAAAATCTTGGGGAGGGTCAAAAATTACATGTCTACAACAACTTTTGTTAACTTGGCTTTGCATCTTGTTGGTGAAACATATTATACTTACATTACTAAATTCTTCTCGCCCCTGCCAATACAACAGTGAATGATGAGTTAAAACTTATAGTCATCTCTCTTTATATTTATTGGAAAAGCAAATTGTGAATACCTGATGATTCCACATCTCTAGCATTTAGGACATGTATTTTATAAATCTTGATGATACCACCATCTCTAGCTTCATCTCAAACTAAATTACGGAAAACTTCTTTATACACCATATTTTTAGCTTCATTCGTTATTTGGCCATCATCATCATAAACTAAAATCTTCAACCATTTCTACTTGTCACGCGTGAAAGAGCAACATACAGTTGTCCATGAGTAAATACTGGCTTCTTCAAAAATAGCCCCACGTGAGACAATGAATGGCCTTGACTTTTATTAATTGTCATGGCAAAAGATACAACAATTGGAGAATGTCTTTCCTGGAACTTAAAAGGTATTCTTGCATCTGACGGTGTCAATGTTATTCTCGGGATAAAAACTTTTTGTCCAGCCAAATTACCAGATAAAACCTTGGCTTCAATAATTCGATCTCCAAGTCTTGTGATGATCAACCTCGTGCCATTACACAATTCTGATGACTGGTCTATATTTCTCAGTAACATCACAGGAACGCCAACCTTCAAAGTGATCGAGTGATGGAATTCTAGAACATTTAATACTACTTAGGAATTCTGGTGTATGTACGTGCTCCAAAGCTGAAAAAGAATGATCAGACATACAAACGGTATCAGAACTCAAATATGTCTTCTCACGACTATGATTGAGTGAAACCATATATTCATTGATTTATTCTACCATATCAAGAGTCGGAGCAAGAATTGCTCTTTGTTGGAAGTAATCTATGTCACTGGAATGGCTAAAGAAATCTGGATATGTACTTTCAACAATTGCCGATGTTGGATCATTACAATTACTTATGAGAAGATCATCAGGGATTTGGACCTTCTCAATGCCATCAATGGAACTCCCAATCCTTCCATCACCGATTGCCAAAATCCATTAGGAAAAATTTCTTAACTCATCCAAATGTGCATCTAACTGATCTCTTTGCAACCTCATATTCATTGTTAGATTTAAGACTTCACAGTGGGTCCACAAATAAGAAGAATTAAGAGTAGCGTTAACAATATCTTGCCTAGATCCTTTTGCAATAACAAGCAAAATTTGTCTAAAGTCACCACAAAGAACAACTATTTTACCTCTAAAAGGTTTATCAACACTGGATGTGTCTTTAAATCTAAGAATATCTCTAAGAGTTTGATCAAGAGCTTCAAAATAATATTTATGCATCATCGGTGCCTCATCCCAAATAATCAACTTTGCCTTTATAATCAAATTTGCTAGAGGACTACCTTGCTTTATATAGCATGTTGAATCTTCAGTTGGATTGAGAGGAATTGCAAATCTCGAATGAGCTGTTCTACCACCTGGTAACAAAAGAGATGCAATGCCACTTAATGCAACAATTAACACAATGTCTCCTCTAGATCGTATGCCATAAGACAAAGTCTTCCAAATAAAAGTCTTGCAGTTCCCCTGTAACCATATGTCACGACCCGGATTTTCCACCCTCGAGAGTCGTGATGGAGCCTACTCGTGAAAGCTAGGCAAGCCAAGTATTATAGATTTTATTACCCTCTTCCTTTAACCTTTTTAACATTTACGAATTTAACAGGTGATCAACAGCGGAATAATCATAATAAATAGAATGCGGAAGGCGAAAGCTAATAGTTTAACCAAATACTTACACAAAAATCCAAAATACAACTCTACCAAAAATATGGTGTCACAATGTCACGGACTGTCTACGAATACTACAAACAGCGGTCTGAACGAAAATACAGATCTGTCTCTGAAGTACATAAAAGAACAGAATGGAAAGATAGAAGGGGATGCCAAGGCCTGTGGACGTCTGCAGGACAACCTCGGGTCTCCACCACTAGACTGAAGGCAGCAACCTCACTGTGGTCCAAAAGCTACAGCACCGGGATCTGCACACAGTGTAGAGTGTAGTATCAGCACAACCGACCCCATGTGCTGGTAAGTGTCGAGCCTAACCTCGGCGAAGTAGTGACGAGTCTAGGACAAGACTACCAAATAAACCTACGCAGTTATATCATATACAATAAATAATCGCGACAGAAACTAACAGTTAAAGATGGGAAGGGGAAACATATGCGGGAAATTTCAAGTACAAACATAATTTCAGTAAAGAAGCATAAGGAACACCAAAATTCAACTATAAGAAAGAATAAGGAGATTAATAACAAGTGCACGACATCACCCTTCGTGCTTTTACTCTCGTTCTTACCATAAGAATCAATATATTCGGCACGACATCACCCTTCGTGCTTTTACCTCACATAATCATGGCACGACATTATCCTTCGTGCCTTATCACTCATATCATGGCACGACATCACCCTTTGTGCTTTTACATTTACAATATCGGCACGGCACCACCCTTCGTGCATTAACACTCACTCACAAATATCACGCACGGCATCACCCTTCGCGCTTTTACACTCATCCTTACCCAAGCAACAATCACAAGCAATTCGGGCAAGGGAATCAATAAAATCACAATAGAATCCCGGCAAGCGAACAACAGTATAACAACAATATCCCGGCAAGGGAAACAATATCATGAACAATAACATCCCGGCAAGGGAAACAATATCATAACCTCTTCTCTTTTCCACAATTACTTCACAACTCAATTTACAACTTGAGCCAATGCTCTACAATGTTCAATTACCAAGAATACTTCCAGAAGCCTTGTTCAACATTAATAACATCATATTAAGCATGGATAATACATAAAGGAGTCACAACAATCATAGTATAAGACTCACAGGCATGCTTGACACCAACGTATAGGTACTCGTCACCACATCTATACGTCGTACTCAACAAGTAACACATAGAAAATAATACTCCGACTCCTATTCCCTCAAGCTAAGGTTATACCAAACACTTACCTCAATGCCACGAACACAATCAAGCCTCAACTACCGCTTTACCTCTTGGTTACACCACCAATTCACTTGTATCTAGTCACAATTTACTTAATAACGTTGCTAATTACTAAATAAACTAATTCCAATGCATGAAAATAGATTTCCCCTTTTGTTTTCCCCAAAAAGTCAAAAATCGACCACAGGCCCGCTTGGTCCAAACCTGAAATTCGGACCATAATGCGATTACGCATTCACCCCCGAGCCCGAATATACTATTGGTTTTGGAATCCGACCTCAATTTGAGGTCCAAATCCCCAAATTTTGATATTCCTAAGTTCTACCCAAAATTCCCAATTCCACCATGAAAACCCTAGATTCTAGGATGAAATCTTGTAAAAAGAAGTTAAGGAGTGAAAGAAATGAGTTAAAATCACTTACTTGTGTTTGGGGAAGAACGAGTGTCTTGAAAAATTGCCTCTTATGTTTTAGGGTTTTGAAAAATGAAAAATGGCTGAAAAGTCTCGTTTATATATACCCCTCTCAGACCCTTACCGCTGACCGCATAAAAAGGACCGCGACCGTGGAGTTCTACCGCGGACCGCGAAGTATCGAGCGCGGCCGCAAAGATATGACCTTGCCCACCGGTGATCGCGAAAAATCCCACCGCGATCGCAAAGACCCCACCACGGTCGCGAAGATTCACTGCGGACCGCGAAGCCTGGTTCAGAGACCTGCAACTTCTCTGAACCTGCAACAGTTATTTTCTAAGTCTAAATTCACTCCGTGGCCTATTCAAAACTCACCCGAGCCCTCAGGGCTCCAAACCAAACATGCACGCAAGTCCAAAAATATCATACGGACTTGCTTGTGCGAACAAATCATCAAAATAACATCGACCACTGTGAATTCAACCTCAAACATGAGATCACTCAAGAACATTGAAATTACTATTTTCTCAACTATAGGTCCGTTTTATACCAAACGAACTCCGATTCGTACCAAACTTCACAGATTCAACTTAATTATTATATAAGACCTGTACCGGGCTCCGGAACCAAAATACGGGCTTGATACCATCAAATTCAAACATCTTTAAATTTCTAAAAACTCTTATAATTTCAGTTAAACCATTTCTTTCAAAAATTTATTTCTCAGTCTGGGGACCTCGGAATTCGATTCTGGCATACGCCCAAGTCCCATATTTCACTACGGACCCTACGAGACCGTCGGATCACGGGTCCGGGCCCGTTTACCAAAAATGTTGACCAAAGTCAACTTTAATCAATTTTAGAGGACAATTTCCTTATTTTACTTAGATTTCACATAAGAGCTTTCCGGAAACGCGCCCGGACTACGCACGCAAATCGAGGTGAGACAAAAGAGGTTTTTAAGGCCTCGAAACACAGAATTTACTTTCAAAACGAGTGATGACCTTTTGGGTCATCACATTCTCCACCTCTAAAACAACCGTTCGTCCTCGAACGGGCATAAGAAAAGTACCTGAGTCGGAGAAAAGATGGGGATATCGGCTCCGCATATCAAACTCAGACTCCCAGGTCGCTGCCTCAGCAGGCTGACCCCTCTACTGAACACGAACCGAAGGAAAACTCTTCGATCTCAACTGACGAACTTGCCGGTCTAGAATAGCTACCGACTCCTCCTCATAGGACAAGTCCTTGTCTTACTGGACATTGCTGAAGTCTAACACGTGGGATGGATCGTCGTGATACTTCCGAAGCATAGACACATGGAACACTAGATGCACAGCTGATAAACTCGGCGGCAACGCAAGTCTGTAAGCCACCTCTCCCACTCGATCAAGAATCTCAAAAGGACCAATGAACCTAGTGCTTAGCTTGCCCTTCTTCCCAAATCTCACCACGCCCTTCATAGGCGACACCCGAAGCAACACCCGCTCGCCAACCATGAATGCCACATCACGAACCTTACGGTCGGCATAAATCTTTTGCCTGGACTGAGCTGTACGAAGCCTATCCCAAATGATCATAACCTTGTCCAAGGCATCCTGAACTAGATCCGTACCCAACAATCGAGCCTCTCCCGGCTCAGACCACCGAACTGGCGACCGATACCGCCTACCATATAAAGCCTCATAAGGAGCCATCTGAATGCTCGACTGGTAGCTGTTGTTGTAGGCAAACTCCGCTAGTGGCAAGAATTGATCCCAAGAACCTCCAAAATCAATAACAAATGCTCGGAGCATATCCTCCAAAATCTGAATAGTACGCTCGGACTGTCTGTCCATTTAAGGATGAAATGCTGTGCTCAACTCGACCCGCGTACCCAACTCACGCTGTACTGCCCTCCAAAAATGCGAGGTAAACTGTGTACCCCGATCAGAAATAATGGACACGGGCACACCATGAAGACGAACGATCTCCCGGATATAAATCTCTGCCAACCGCTCAGAAGAATAGGAATCCGCCACAGGAATGAAATGCGCTGACTTGGTCAGCCTATCAACAATAACCCATGTAAATAACGCCTCCAAATCTTCAGCGCGTGAACAATGGCTGCTAGCTCCAAATTATGAATTGGATAACTGTTCTCGTGAATCTTCAACTGCCACGAGGCATATGCAATAACCTTGCCATTCTGCATTAACGACGCACCAAGTCCAATACGAGATGCGTCACAATACACTGAATATAGCCCTGAACCTGTGGGCAATACCAACATCGGCGCCGTAGTCAAAGCTGTCTTGAGCTTCTGAAAGCTCGCCTCACACTCGTCCGACCACCTGAACTGGGCACCCTTCTGGGTCAACCTAGTCATCGGGGCTGCTATAGATGAAAACTGATAACTAGGGATTCTAGTTCATTTTTTTACACTCCTTTTTACTTGAGTTTTGATTAAAAAATGTATACAAATAGTCCAAAAGGTTTACATGTTGTACTTGTTTGCAGGGTTTGGTCAAGAAAGTGACTAGAAGTCAAAAACCAGCTCAAAAAGGAGTGAAACCTGCACAAGTACCAAGAACAAGTCAAAGCACAGCTGCAATAGACCCACCGCGGCCGCAATCCATTTAGTCCAGCCCGCGGTGAGGAGATTCAGAGAGGTGCAGATGTTGGAAGCTCAAGCATAGCGGCCGCAATCCATTTAGTGCGGACCGTAGTAGCCTCACTGCGACCGCAATCCGGTTCATGCGGTCAGCGGAGAAGAGATTCAGAGAGTTGGAAATTTGGAAGTTGGAAGCCACTGCGGACGCAATCCATTTTGTGCGGACCTCAGTGAAGCCACCGCGGCCGCGGTGCATTTTCCACGGTCACAGGTGGCCAGATTCAGAGACTCAAAAGTCAAGCTAAAAAGCCTCACTGTGGCCGCGGTGCATTTTCCGTGGCCCGCGGTACCTCCGTAGGGGTATTTTTGTCCAGAAAATTTGGCCTTGTATAAATAGTTCTTTTTCAGATTTTTAGGGTATCTAACTTTTAGCTTAGCACGTGAATGGCATTTTTAGACAATTTTGAGTAATTTTATAGTGGGTTTATCATTGAATATTTAATTCTTAGCTTGTAAACATATTATATGGGTTATTCTTCATCTAATTATCTATTTTCTTCCACTATCATGAGCAGCTAGACCCATTAGCTAGGGTTGTGGCTTAACGCTAGTGTGGGTATTTGATGGGTCTTATGTTTTAAGGCTTAAATGTTTATGGGTGGTTGATATTTGGACTGAT